CACAACATCCACGCATATTCAGACTTCCCACTTTAACAATTTTCTTCTTATTTTTTTTTTAGTAATCTTTACGGGAAAAAAGGGGTTATTTGGCCCATTGTTCCCGGCATTTTAGTTGACTTTACAACACGCATGGCTTAGGGAGGAAAGATTCTTATTCCACTTCCCCATGGATAAAAAGGGGAAAAGTAATAAGACCAAGAACTATTAAGATAAAATCAAAGAAAACTCAGACGAGTGTGTATAAAAAAACGTGTACATGTATGTGTAGTGTGACCTAAGTGTAAGTAGAAGTAGCAAGACGTACCTGTAATCTTGCATATTTATGAGACAGGCCCAGTGGCCTGGTGGCTAAAGCTCCCCTTCACACACGGAGGCCCGGTTCGTTCCCGGCGGGTGGAAATTCCGACACCGTTTCCTTACACCTGTTGCCCTTTGTTCACCTAGCACAAATAGGTACCTGGGTGTTAGTCGACTGGTGTGGGTCGCATCCTGGGGGACAAGATTAAGGACCCCAATGGAAATAAGTTAGACAGCCTCGATGACGCCTTGACTTTCTTGGTTTCCTGGGTGGCTAACCCTCCGGTGTTAAAAAATCCGAACGAAATCTTATCTTATCTTATCTTAATCCTACCATCATGTAAACAATTACAGGCTTTCGTTTTACACTCACTTGGCAGGACGGTAGTACCTCCCTGGGTGGTTGCTGTCTACCAACCTACTACCTACTACCTACTACCTATTGGAAGTGATTGTATAATTACATTACTGTATTAAATTATTATCAGTGGTAAACCTGAATGGATCATACAAAGGCCTTCTATTAGCTTATCACTGTGCCTTTTAAAAATATTATATTATACAAGATCAAGATGGAAAAACAATGGTAGGAAATATCTCAGAGGTAAATACATTATCCCTTTGAATGTTTTGGTCGTATATATATGTCTTATGAGGTACCGTTTTGACGTATGTATACCCCATAAATTCTAGCAGTTTTCAAATCAAGCAGGAGAAAGCTGGTAGGCCCACATGTTTGAGAATGGGCTGTGTGGTCAGTGTGAAACCATATAAAAAAAATCCTGGAGCACACAGCGCATGATGAGAAAAATAAACTCTGAAGTTTTTTTTTTTAATTAAAATGCCCCAACTTTGTGGTCTATTTTCGTATAGTATTTATGGTTATATTCTCGTTTTCTTGTCTCATTTGATAGAATGAAAAACATATTAATAGAAATAGAGGTGATTTGATTGATTTTACTATAAAAAGAACCTGGAAATGGAGCTCAAAGTAGGGGAAATGTTTTGATTTTTGCCGATGTTCAAAAGTAAACAAATGATGTCATTGTCCAATAAATGTCCAACTGGCCATTCTAATATGCAGTCATGAATGGGTTGACATTATACAATTATTACAATATTGCAGTAGTCTGCATAACAATAAATCTTCTATTTTTGTTTGAATAAAAATTCAAAATAGAAAGCAAGAGTAATATCAAAGGGCCTGGAGACGTGACTGATGAACAAAGAAAATGTTATTTTAGAGCCGGGAAATGTTTTGCATTGTTCATTCTGGACCTTATTTTAAAATTGTCATGTTTTTTAATTTTCGTGAAATTGGCCAAATTGCAAATTTCTGACCACGTTATTGGGTAGTTAAAAATCGGTAAATGGGCAGTTTCTTGTACTCAATCGATAGAAAAAAACAGAGTTCTAAAGAAATAGTATGAGTTTGTCGACTGGAACAATGGAATTAGCCGAAATAGGGCTCAAAGTGGGCGAAATCGCCGATTTGTAAATATTGCCGGAGGTCGCTAACTTCGCAAGAGCGTTATTCCATCAGTTTTTCATAAAAGTTCTTTTTTTTTGGTTGTCATTAACAATCGGGAAAAGATTCTCTATCATTTCATAAGAAAAAATAACTTTTTTTTTTTTTAAATTTTTGCGACACCCAGGAGACACCTCAGGATTGGGGGTTGCGACAGTCAAGGGGTTAAATAATTACATACAGTTATATCAGTTATTATAAATACTATTATAACTGTATTTTAACTGCATAAGAAATCCTAATTAATAGTTTGTCTAACTCTTAAGTAGTCTTAAAAGCATTAAAATTAGTTTTTCCCCAAAATCCATTACATACTAGGGGCATTCTTTTGTGCCTAACAAGTTTTATTACATGTAAACTATACATTATTTCTGTTTTTGCAAAAGAAATAAAAATTTGAATTTGAATACTGTAACCTTGACTAGTTGAGAAAATTGCTGATATCGGTGGTTAAAAAATACTTTAAAATATTCATAATTCAACAAGTACAGTGGAAGCTTGACTTACGAGTGTTCCAACTTACGAGTTTTTTGAGATACGAGCCACCCCGGGGTCAATTTTTGGCTCTGAGTTACGAGCCAACATTTGCGTTACAAACCAGCTCCCCCCTCCCTCTTCCCCCTCAACTCAAAACCTGGACACCTCGCTTGTTTATCTATGTTTTCATGCTTTAATTCTATGGAAATCATTCTCTTTTTCATCTCAGCAATAATAATAATATAATATTATTACAGTCAAGTCCCTCAGTAAGTCAATCAAGTCATTCGGGTCAGTCGGGGTCACTCAGTAAGTCAGTCAAGCCCATTCAGTAAGTCAGTCAAGTCACTCAGAAAATCAGTCTTTCAGTCACACCAACTCATGTTAACCTCTTTTTCTGTGTACAAAGAAAACATTTTCATTATGGTTACAGGTTATCTCTTGTCTAATATCTTTGTTAATTCAAGACTTAAGTGCTTATACCTCTTTGTGCCACTTTCAGCAACACAGGTATGGCTACTGGGTGTCATGATTGCTTGGCAGATACAAGATACAGTAATTAATATATTATAACACAATTGAAAAAACACAGCTGCCTAATAGCATAGAAAGACTGGACACACATGAATTAGGAATGCCAGGATGGTGAGGTGGTGTCTGGGAGTGGTGGGGGATGGCTCCCCGGGTGCTAAAACAACAAGGTGGGCCCCTTGAGCAAAAAGAGAATTTTTTTTCCTTTCCCCCACTGAAACCATGTTAAATTAATTATACGACGTGTTACATAAAATTGTGCCGCAATTCTTTAATGGTGGTCTACTGTATTATTATAATAACGATAGAGCTTCAGTTCCCTAAAATAATAATAATAATAAAATAATGATAGAGCTTCAGTTCCCTAAATTAATTAACAAAAATAATAATACAATGCTACTAATAAACAGTGGACCCCGACTTACGATATTAATTCATTCCAGAAGTCTGTTCGGGTACCGTTACCGTATGAATTTGTCCCCACAAGGAATATTTTTAAATTAGATTAGTCCGTTTCAGAACCCCAAAAATACACATACAAAAGCACTAACAAAAATACACTTACATAATTGTTCGAGTTGGAGCTGATCGTGAGGCGGGGCCCACTGTATAATATGATTAAATTTTTATTATTATTATAATGATAAGCTTCATTCCCTAAATTAATAATAATAATAAATTAAATTTAAAAAAATTGATAGAGCTTTTAGTTCCCTAAATTAATAATAATAATGCATAATACATACGTAATAATAATTCAGATTGCTTCTGCTAGTTGGCAGTAAACATGTTTACATCCCTGTGGGGCAGTTCTCTTTGTGCTTGTTTGCATTTTTTTAGTCATTTGGCCAAATTTCTTATTTCTAACCAGGGCCATAGTGATCTACTGTAGTTAGCCTCAAAAATACTCTGTTTTCCTTACAGTAAGGGCATGGGAAGATACTATAGTCAAATTGAGACAGAAATGGCAGACCTTTCTGCTGCTGCCACTGCCTCTGCCACCATATTTTGGCCTATTATATTCATTCTAGAGTATATTTTCATGTTTCTGTGCTAATTTATATTGATTATTATGTCATATTTGATGAATTGTGATAGATAAAAAGCCGTTTCAGTTGATAATAGCGTCATATTTAAGTATTTTTTCTCGTCTCCAGAGTGCAGGGAAAGAATTAATGGTTTTTCAATTAATTTAAATGAGGAAAATTAATTTGATGTACGAGTAAATTGAGTTATGAGCTAGCTCCTGGAACGAATTAAACTCAAAGTCAAGGGTTTTTCCCCTGTACATTTAAAATTCTGGATATTTTCAGACTTTTATGTGCTTTCAAGTGTACATGTATATATAAAATCAAGAAGGATATATACTCCAAGTGGTTTTTCACTCTTTTTATAGGCAGTACAGTACATTGAGAATTTATTGAATCCCTATTTTAGAGATTAAAGTGAACTCAAAGTTGTATAAAGGGGAATTGCTGCTTTATAATGCAGGTACAGTCAATAAGCAGTGGCAACACCAAGGGCAGAGCAAAGGGGCCAAATATCCATAAGCTCCCCAAAGCCCCCTAAATAAAAATACAGGAATGCCCCGCATATTCAGCAACCTCTTTTTGATGTTCCATGTTTTCAGTGGTTTTCAACTGAACCAATGTTCATTATGTTTTGGGGCTTTTTCTGCTTTTCTGCTGTTTTTTTCACAAAAGTTGTGTAAGAGCAGGGCAACCAGCACCACATTTTAAAAGGGGAAGTATTGTATGCACTGTGCATTTATCCGTTTTATATGCCTAGCTGTGTTGAGCACTTAATATATGAGAATGTAAACACATTATCAGGTGTTTTTAAATGCATTCAATATTGAAAAAGTGCTCTTTTCCACCCACCATGGGTTTCTGATTATGCCAGGGGTTCGGAACATAACCATAAAACAGGGCCTTCCTGTAATGATGATAATGCTGCTTCAAGACAAGTCCCATAGCTCCCTCTAATAACCAGAAAGCCTTCTTTATAAACCTGGATTTGCATTTGTCAATAAACCTTATATGTAATGTAAAATAATAGTGTATGAAATGTTCCTACCCCAAAATTAGCATCACTCCAGGACTTCAGGTCAGTGAGATGAGGGTAGCAAGTAACCACCACCAAGGTCCGCCAGCGAGAATCTGGGCAGTGACCTATGATGGGTGGTCTGGGGTTGGGACTGTCCCTGCCACACAAGGAAAATTCAGAAATTAGTTGAGGAAAGATTACAGACAAAGGTTATACACACCAAGAAGTGCATTTTTTAAACACTGGCTGTTTCCCACAAGGCAGGTGATTTGAAAAAGAAAAACTTTTTTTTTTACATTTAGTAATTTATACAGGAAAAAGGTTACTAGTCCCCGGGTCCTAGCATTTTAGTCACCTCTTACAACACATGTGTCTTACAGAGAAGGATTCTTCTCCACTTCCCTAAGAAGTGCACATTTAAGTTTATTTTATGGATCTTTTAAGGTTCCTTGATACTGGTGAGGGGGTCTTTATACAAGATATGGGCCAGTGCTTTTACTTCCTTGAAATAAGCCTGAATGCCTTCAGTTCTCCAAGGTGATGGATACTTTCCACCTCTAGGGCTGCAACATCCCCTCCCACCTTTAAGAGTTCTGGCACTGTACTTCCCACCTCTAAAACTGTAACATCCCTGTCCTTCCTACAGAGGGCAGGGACTGTACTTCCTAAATCTATGACTAACACTGCCACCTCTCTTTCAGATTGCAGGCATTATACTTCCAGTTTTTCAGGACTGTAACATCCTCCTCATCCTTCAGAGTGGAAGGGAAATGTACTTCCCATTTTCAGGACTAACATCCTCACCCATCCTTCAGAATGCAGGCATGCATCTCCCACCTCTAGGACTGTAACATCTCCACTGCTCTTTCACAGTGCAAGCACTATACTATACTTCCCATTATCAGGACTGTAACATCCTCCTTCAGAGTGCAGACACTATACTTCCCACCCTACTTACACTACTGTATACAGTAATCTTACACTTACCATTGTAAAACTTGCAGATGAAAGGCCTCACTTCTTCACAGTTCTCTGCCGACCAGCGACCATTGTGGACATTCACCCGGACACAGTTGTTGTCGCTGGAGGTAGCATTAGGTTGATCTCTGTCCCAGTTAGTGTACATGGTTGGCCACCCATCACACCACTTGTACACCTGTTGGCTCTATCATGAGAATAATAATTTTTATTTCTAAAAAGTACATAATCTAATTTATAGAGGATTAGTTGATATAACTGGCATACTTAGTGAAAATCCCTGATTATGTAGAGCATTTCAGGCAGCCCTAAAATTAACTCACAAGTGCCTCTATGTAGTGCAATTTTTCATACAGTAAAAAAAAGTCCATAAAAAATTTATTAGCATGTACTAGGAAGATTTTTCCACATGTTATTCAATTTTGAATGTACTTTTTTAATTGCATTTACAAAGACAGCACTATATAAGGGAGCTTTATAAGACAGCTGAGTGCAAGGATGACAATACACAACTTGCTGTCAGTTTGATCATAGTGAAGGACAGGGGGCCCTGCTTATACAGCAGGTTAGGATCTGGGCTATGACTGTAAAGCAAAAATTGCTGTAGAGTGAATTATAGCCTTTTTTCACTTTCAAATGCATGTAAAAGCTTGATAACATGTTTACACCATCATATATTAAGTGTGCAATAGTGCTAGGCCTAAAAAATACATATACAGTACACACAGTACTTACCTTAAAATATTTTCACCTTTAGCTTATAGTGAGTGGTGAATACATTTATTGTAGGAAGTCTGAATAAATGAAGAATGGGTATAATTGAAAACTGCTGTATTAGTGAAATGCTGTAAAGTGGGGCCCTCCTGTATTTATTTTGACTCTGGTGACATGTGTGGGTTTAGTGCTAGTTTTTAATATAACAAATTCTGAATTGTAATAATTATAATACTCTTATTATTATTTTGATCCTAACATTTTAAAATTTTAGATAAGTTCATGAACATTATGAATTAAATGTTTTTTTTTTAATTTTGTATAATAGTATTAATATTTCTGGAGTCATGGGTTAATTTATTATATGAGTTATTATTATTATTAATTTATTTATTATATTTTTTTGCTTGTAATTATTAATATGCATGGCTGCACCCTAACTTTTTTTATTATCAAAAGTGCTGTGTCACCTTAAAGGTTCAAGTGTTTTACAAATTCCATCTTTTTCTTATCTTACATAACTATAACCAATAATAACAAAAAAAGGCACAATACCATGACTGGAACGATACACAAATAACCCCCACATAAAAGAAAGAAGCTTACGACGACGTTTCGGTCCGACTTGGACCATTTACAAAGTGTGACTTTGTAAATGGTCCAAGTCGGACCGAAACATCGTCGTAAGCTTCTCTCTTTTATGTGCGGGTTATTTGTATAACTATAACCATTAAGAGGTAGTAATCCCTCCATTTAATAGACTAACAGTTGAACAGTCAAATAAATCAGACAGGACATACACACTGAGGTGTATTTTTCTCAGTACGTATAAATATGCCGAGAGTACTTCCATCCCTATTGTAGGGATTAAAATATTCTTGCCTGTAGGTGAAATTATGTGAAGCCTCAATGAGTCTAGAGTAATCAATAGGCTTTAACTCCACATCAATAAATTAACAGGGTGAACTAATACTGTACTACCTGTAAATTGTTGAAGCCAAGCCAGGCATCATCAACAGCACTTTCCTGAGTGAGGACCCACATCAAGGCATCCTCTGAGAGGTCATGGACCGAGGCCAAGTGAGCTCCCTCGTTCACACAAGCTGACTCGGCTTCCTGTACGAACATTTACTGCATATCAATATTAGTGTACTGGTAAATACTATACAGTGGACCCCCGCATAACGATTACCTCCGAATGCGACCAATTATGTAAGTGTATTTATGTAAGTGTGTTTGTACGTGTATGTTTGGGGGTCTGAAATGGACTAATCTACTTCACAATATTTCTTATGGGAACAAATTCGGTCAGTACTGGCACGTGAACATACTTCTGGAGTGAAAAAATATCGTTAACCGGGGGTCCACTGTATTAGTATGAAGTATTACATGGCAAGATACTGTTTAACTTGCATAATTGTTTGTGCTAATCTCTATGGGTTCATATTCCTTCATGCTAGTGGCTTTCTTTGTAATCATTTTGTAATATGCAAGAAAATAAACATTTTCATTTTCACTTGAAAAGATGAATGATAATGGCTTTTTCCATTTGCTGACCTAGCTGCTTTATCATGTTCTCTGATTAAGAGGGTTCATTATACTGATACTTCATGAATTTCTCATTTTATGCAGGAGCCACAATTTTTTTTAAAGATTAAACTTTTGACTGTTTTGGCCGTATTTATACGTCTTACGTGCCACTGTTTTGGACATAGTTATACGCGTAAATTCTAGCAGCTTCAAATCAAGCGGGAGAAAGCTGGTAGGCCTACATGAGAGAGAATGGGTCTCAGTGGTGGGTGTGCACCCTGTGAAAAAAGTCTGGGACTCAGTGGTGCATTGTGGGAACGCCATCTTGGTAGTCCATTTTCACCATGCCTCGCGGTATAAAGTACCTCACTCCTCGGCGTATTGGAGGTCTACTGTTCCCAAATGATAGTTCTAACAGTGATGGAAGTGCCAGTGAAAGTGAATTTCATGGCTTTGGAGAGGGTGTGACCGAAAGCAGTGCCCAGAATTACGTAATTAGTGATGAAAACCCCGATGACCCACAATCGTCCACCTCTGGTGCTGGCACATCTCATTCACGTTCACCTGTACCAGGACGAAAAAGGAAACTATTTCCCCATTTACAGGACTCAGATCTGAGCAGCGAAAGTGATAATGATAGTGATTTCCAAGTTATTGACAGCAGCTTGAGTAGCGACAGTGAGGGGGAATATTCGCCAGTGAAACGGCAGTATGTTCGATGCAGCATGCATTCTGGTAGTGTGCTGTATTCCCTTCCAAAGCAAAGGAGTAAATCTGGGAGTACATCCCGTGGTCCTACACCACGACCTGACAGTGAAGATGACGATATTGTTACAATGGGGATGTGTAATGTGTGTGGGGAAGAAGGTGATGGTGGTGGTGATGTTGGCAGTGGCATGAGTCATGTGGCACCAGCAGCGGGCCACGCTACTACCGATGCTGCTGACTCTGCACAACTACAACCAGCCTCACCCAACCCCACACTCCCACAACAACCACAACCTGCACAACCACAACCATGTTTCAATATCCAGAACCCACCAGCAGACTGCATCTGGGATTGGCAGCAAGGTGACGGTTTTATTCCCAATCCCCATGACTTTGATGAAACACAAAGTGGAATACGGCCATCTTGTACACTTAGGAACAATGCCACTGAACTAGAATGCTTTCAGTTATTCTTTGATGAACCCCTGATGGACATTATTGTCAGGGAAACCAACACATACTATGAGTACACCATGGCAAATACAATTCTTTCACCAAGATCACGGCTACACCAGTGGAAGGACACAACTGTGGCAGAGATGTACCTGTTCATTGCCACAATAATGCTTATGCCACATGTGTATAAGCACACTGTCACCACATACTGGTCAACAGAACGCCTGATTTCAACCCCAGGTTTTAGTGACATTATAGGAGTAAATCGTTATTTGATACTGTTACGTATGTTACACTTTTTCAGACAAAACAAGGCCTAACAGAACCGACAGGTTATGTAAGATCAGAAATGTGTTTATGTACCTGAAACAAAAGTGTTGCATGTATTTTTATCCCTTCAGGAAGCTTGTTATTGATAAGTCTTTGATTTTATTCAAAGGAAGACTCTCATTCAGGCAGTACATACCAAGCAAGAGGAAACGCTTTAGTATAAAGTTATTTGTACTGTGTGATTGCAAAAGTGGTCTCGTTTTGGATATCATTGTGTACACTGGTAGTAATACATTGAAAGATACCAGGAAGTTACTGGGTATCTCTGGTGATGTGGTTCAAACAATGATAGAACCATATCTTGGTAAGGGGCATATATTATATACTGATAACTGGTATGCAAGCCCCATACTCAGTGATTTCTTGCGAGTGAACCTGACAGACGTGTGTGGCACAGTGCGTGGCAATCGTAAGCATATGCCTAGGTTTGATGCTGGCACTTGCAGAGGTGAGGTGCAGGCCTTTGTTGCCAATGACATCATGGCATTTCGGTGGCATGACAAACGTGATGTCACATTCTTGACATCAGTTCACTGAAATGAAATGGCACACACACTGGCAGGCACAAAAGAGACACCAATGAGCCCATTCTAAAACCTGCAGCTGTCATGGACTACAATCTCAATATGCACTTAGTGGACAAATGTGACATGCAGATTGGGTTTGTTGATTATGTACGTTAGAGTTATAAGTGCTATATAAAACTTTTTTTCCATCTTCTTGGTATTTCCATGCTAAATGCTTATAACATATACAAGTTGAGGACCAACAACAAACTAAATTATGGTGAATTTTGTGTGTCACTCATCAGACAAATAATTGTCAAGTACCAAGGAGCAACACCTGCAATAGACCAACGCCCACGAAATTACCAACACATGCCATCTCGTTTGAGGCCTGGTGATCACTACCCCATACAACTGCCTCCTACTGCTTTCAAGAAAAGTGCTCAGAAGAGGTGTTTTGTATGTGGACATATCACAAAATGCCCACAAACACGCAGAGACACTCGTTTTATGTGTGAGGAGTGTCAAGTGCCCCTCTGCATATACCAATGTTTCAAAGAGTTCCACAAGCTGCAGCAGTTCTAGGAAAGTGTTCAGTGACTGTACATTATTTTTTTTTTTTTCAACAAGTCGGTTGTCTCCCACCGAGGCAGGGTGACCCAAAAAGAAAGAAAATCCCAAAAAAGAAAATACTTTCATCATCATTCAACACTTTCACCTCACTCACACATAATCACTGTTGTTGCAGAGGTGCTCAGAGCACAACAGTTTAGAAGCATATACCTGGAGAGAGTTCCGGGGGTCAATGCCCCCGCGGCCCGGTCTGTGACCAGGCCTCCTGGTGGATCAGAGCCTGATTAACCAGGCTGCTGCTGCTGGCTGCACACAAACCCAAAATCTCTCTCTCTCCTCTGCATTCCTCTCTTCTCCAGGTGCATACACGCTTATTATGACCCACTTCTCGCATCCAACCTTTACTTTAATCCACATAATTCTTGAATTTACACATTCATATTCTCTTTTCTCCTTCCATAACTGATCATTCAACATTACTGCTATCCCTTCCCTTTGCTCTAACTCTCTCAGATACTCCAGATTTAATCCCATTTATTTCCCCCCACCGAAATCCCCTACC